TTTCTTTCTTTCATTTTTTTATAGTAGCCATTCTTTTTTTTTTTTTTTTTTTTATATTAGCCATTTTTTTTTTTTTTTTTTTTTTGTCTTTTCATGACTGGTGCTCAGCCAGTGAGCGCACCGGCCATTCCTATATAGGATCCGAACCTGCGGCGGGAGCGGCGCTGCGCTCCCAGCGCTGCACTCTCCCGAGTGCGCCACGGGGACGGCCCTATAGTAGCCATTCTAATGGGTGTGAGGTGATAATATTCTTCCTTTTTAAAAATTTCAGTGCTCTGTTGTAAGGCAGCACCAGGGTATAGATGTTGAGGACAGTTCCTAGGAACATATTGCCAAGTGGGATTCATGACCCTATCATTTGGTAAGAATTATTGACTGGATTTCCTGCTTTCACGTAGAGGTATTTTCAGATTTGCAAAGAAGTTATTCAATAGAGGGGCTAACTAAAGATATCAAAGCATCACTAATCAAAGCCAAAGATACAGCTGAAGATATCAAAGCACCTTCTGATTATTTGTGGTAGGAAAACACACCAGACCAAGCCAGTGACACCCACAGTTGGAAAAGCACACTGGAAATCTGAGTTTGGCTCTGTCTTGGCCATGGGGGGAGCTTTTCCTAAGTCACTTCCCATTTCTGGGCTTATTTCTTTAAAATGAGGTTGTTAAAACCATGACTCGCTCAGGAGCCTCCCAGCATCAGAATTCAAGATTTTTCGAGATGACCTCGAATTTGCTCACTGAAAAGGGAGAGGGATGCTTTGTTCTTGAGGACAAGAGAGCAGAGCAACAATTAGTTGAAATTATTGAACACACCTTTTCAGTTGCTAAGAATTAAGGGAGGGCAGCCTTTGTCTTGGAACGGTTGGAGCTGGAATTGGACCTTGCAGGTCACCCAGGATGGTGTGCTCGCTTTACAAATGGGAAACAACGATGCGGAGATGTGCTAATACCATCCAGGTAGGAGCTTTCTCTTGCTCATGAAGAAAAAAATATCGACAGCAGCTTTTAGCTGAACTGGCCTGGGTTTGGGGCCTCCCTGCTGGGGAAGTGGTTTTGTGGTTCGATGATAAGCAAGCCTTGTACGTGAGGGGATGAAATTAGGAGAAGCCATGGGGGGGCCTGAGAGGGGGCTTGACAAAGCCAAAATAGAGGTTGCTTCCAAATCTAAAGACTGGCCCTGTGATGTCGAGTGTCTACTTCATTGTGCTTTGGCTTATTCTCCATTTATCTCATCTGAAAGGCATCATCTGTCCAGGGGTATTGTGAGAGTCACATGAACATGCGATAATGCGTGTGAAAGAAATTGTACAAAAATGCTTTGATACAGCTTGTCATAGCTGTAGAGTTCGAGGTTTGCCTCACTCACTAAGCATAGTATGTGAAAACCTAAGTGTAAAATGGAGGGTGATGATTTCTTTTCTACAGTGATTTGCTGCGAGAAGTATTAAGGTTACAAAGAATCTTTTTTTAAATATTGTACATCTTTTCAGGAACCGCTACCGGCTTTCTTGTTAGTTAAACCCGCACCACTAGGCAGACTTAGACAATGCATGTTTTGATATGTAAGAAGTATTAAGGTTACAAAGAATCTTTTTTTAAATATTGTACATCTTTTCAGGAACCGCTACCCGCTTTCTTGTTAGTTAAACCCGCACCACTAGGCAGACTTAGACAATGCATGTTTTGATATGTTTGCATATATGTGACTTGTACTAGCAGGACAGGTGAAGGTGGGAGCTGGATGGCTCTGGCATTTGCTCATTTGGAAGGGAAGGGGGATCTGCACAGCTCTGTCTTCACTGAAGTGTTCACCTGTTTCTCATCAGTTGAGAGAGGAAGCTTATCGGTCCAGAGAGCTTCATTTAAGATTGTAAAACAAGCCATTTAGGGTTTCTGGGCTCTTATCTTTGTAGGTATCATTCATTCCTTTGAGGTCTCTGGCTGTCCTAAAGTGGAAGGGAGTCAGCAGTTCTACCACCCCTGCATGCAGGCTCCTGACCCAGCAGCCTGCTGGAGCCTGACTTCTCAGCTGTGAGCGGGTGGACCAAACTCACTTCTGCTCACTGCGTAGGGCTTGAGGTGGGCCTTTTTTAACTTGAAAGGACAAAGCTTGATCCTTGGCCAGAAGGGGAATAAAAGAAAAAAACAAAAAACTTTTCCTCTCACATTTGGTGTTTCACACAGCACTTCTGACACCAAATGTGCCAGTCTCTTCCACAACAAGCAATTCGCCAATTCTCTGTGGACACCAACTGGGTCCCCTACAATTCAATTCAGTCTGACACTCTCTACCTGGAGTTATGGTCAGATCCCACAGGTTAAGGGCTCAGTCCCGCAAGACTGTCCCCTACTTCATACACTGACTAACAGGCTATAAGGGGTCCCACGACCCCGTGCTTGGGTATGATCATTTGCTAGAATGGTTCACAGAACTCAGGGAAATGATTTACTGAAAAGGATACAACTCAGGAACAGCCAAATGGAAGAGATGCGTAGGACAAAGTAATGAGGGATGCGGAGCTTCCGTGCCCTCCCTGGGTGCACCACCCTCCCAGTACCAGAATGTATTCACCCACCCAGAAGCTCTCCAAGGGCCTTCCTGTAGGGTTTTTATGGGGGCTTTATTACATAGGCAAGATTGATGACATCATTAGCCATTGGTGATTAAACTCAATCTCCATCTTCTCTTTTCTGGAGGCCGGGGTGGCGGGATGGGATGGGCTGAAAGTACCAACTCTGTAATCACTTGGTTGGTTCCCCTGGCAACCAGCCCCCATCCTGCAAGAGCCACCTCATTAGCATAGACTCAGGTATGGTTGAAAGGGGCTTCTTATGAATAGCAAAAGATGCTGCTTTTGCTGTTATTGCTCCTGAGATTTTAAGGAGCTGTTTCAGCAACTGTGGACAGAAACCAAATACAACAAAAGATACTTCTTTCGCTCTTATCACTTAGGAAATTACAAGGGTTTTAAGAGTGCTGGCCAAGACCTGGGGACAAAGACTGAAATATATATTTCTTATTATAATATCACAGCTTCACTGAATGATAGGAAAACCTTATCAGAACAGCAGCAGAGCAAGAAAGTTCACAGAATCAACCTGTGCACACAGCAGGTTAGTCAGCAACAGGAGCACGTGCACTATGGCAGTTCCTGAAATCACTGTGACCTGGGATGGGCGTGGGGTCAGTGTGGTCTCAGATGTCACACTTGGGTGTCACTAGGAGAAAGGGTGAGGTCTTGGGATCGATTAGAAGTTACGTCGTGCAAATTCTTCACGTTCAGGTGGTATTTGAAACCATGTGGTGTTGAGTCCAGCAAAGCATTAAGTCTCTAAAGAGGAGAGGAAAAGAAAGTCAGTTAGAGCTGGAAAAGAAGAGGACCCAGGGAGGGCAAAGACCACTGAGAGGGACCACATCCCTAAATGCTGTGGGCCAGTCTGAGGTGTCTGAGTCAAGGCCACTGGTTAGCACATCGGGACACTGTGACAGGGCAAGATGAAGGGATTGGAGAGAGGTCTGCAGCTGCGCCAGAGCGGGCAGTGGGCAGGTGTGGATCAGCACCAGGGTGGTAGTCAGGGATCCAAGGCTATGAAAAGAAGGCAAAGCACAGTGACGGCCCAGATTCCTGTCACTCTGAACCCAGCATATGTCTTGGATTGTCCCTTTCCCTCCATTCCTGCTGTCACCACCTTTTTTCAGGGAGCATTATTTCATGTCTGCATTGTCAACAGTAGCCACCAATAGCTTTTCTGCCTTCAGTTTCCTTACTTGCCAGTCTTCTCTGCATTTTTGCTGTGACACTTTTTCTAAATCGTGGATCATTTTGTCAGAATCAGATGGCTTCACTTTGCTGCACTGCAGAGTCTGAATCTCCTTGCGTGGTTTCCAGCCCTCCATCCTTCCCTCCTGCATGTTCTCAGTTCTGGGCACAGCTCGCTCTTTGGTGCCTGGTGTTTTCAAGTGTCCGTGCCTGTGCTCACCCCTCTCTCTACTGCAGCGCCCTGACTCCTTGCGTGGTTTCCAGCCCTCCATCCTTCCCTCCTGCATGTTCTCAGTTCTGGGCACAGCTCGCTCTTCGGTGCCTGGTGTTTTCAAGTGTCCGTGCCTGTGCTCACCCCTCTCTCTACTGCAGCGCCCTGCCCGCCTCCATCTTGCCCGCCAGCGCTCTGGTCCTGCTCCAAGCCCACCTCGAGTCCAGCTCCTCTGATGTGCTCTTCTCTTCTCTTGGTCATAACTCCCGTAACATTTACTTAAAACAAAACAAAACAAACACAGCAATACTGACATATATTTTAGCTGTGTATTACTTTTCTCTCCTTCACGAGTTTAGGAGACCTTTCAGGGGCCAGGGACTGTGTCTTTTTTATCTGTCCCAGTGCCAGGACCTATAGAGTAGATGCCCTGAATGTTTGCAGAGTGGATGGCACTCGAGCAGCTGGGCAGGCGAGCACCACAGGGCACGTACCCCTGGAGTGGGTAGAGCAGCCAGACAGGCAGGCAGGGAGCTGGTGGAATTGTTATAAATAAAAATCATTCGTTTCCCCTCAAGTAAAAATAGTCATTTTCCCCCCTCAACTAGTATTATTAAGCACCTACTGTATTTGGCACAGTAGGGGATACTAAGCTGTTTGAAATACAGTCTCTTAAGAGTCTTAAGATTTGGTGGGCAAAGCCTGTACATCGTGGCAGAACAAGGCACAGCTGGCAATAACCATGAGGACAATATAAACAAGTTTCATGGGACTTCAAAGAAGACAGAGCCTGGTGATAAGAGAATAGGCTTCATGGGGTCAAGGCCATCTGTGCTGGACTACTCGAGGGTGGAGACTGGTGGGCTTGCTGGGTGGGGTGGGGGGAGATGGGCCATGGGGGTGGGTGTTGTGAGGCACATTCCAGTGGAACAGAATGATCTCTCTGTGAGAGTCGACCGTGTAATCTACGATTTGGAAATGGGGCAGAGTTCCTTTTGATTGGCTCTGAATGGCCTCCTTGAATTAATTGTGCATGTATTGTGTTTGTTTTTCTGTAGGCACAGACCATGAATTACGTGGGGCAGTTAGCCGGCCAGGTCTTTGTGACCGTCAAGGAGCTCTACAAGGGGCTGAACCCCGCCACCCTGTCAGGATGCATAGACATCATAGTTGTTCGCCAGCCCAACGGGAATCTCCAGTGCTCCCCTTTCCACGTGCGCTTTGGGAAGATGGGGGTCCTGCGCTCCCGAGAGAAAGTGGTAAGAGTGTGGGACCCTGTGACGTGGAGCGCTGGCTCTCTCCTTAGAGAAAATCATAGTGTTTCAGGAGTGTCACCTGTCTTGAGCTCGAGACCCAGGATTTTAGCTCTCTATTGGAAATGGCTGTTCACTGAATGGACAATTACTAATGCAAATCGTTCTGGTCACTATGGCTGAGTAGATGACTGAAATGCCAGGCATGCACCAGCTTTTTGTCATGCTGCTGGGTTCGGTGGGTCGGGCATTCAGATGGAGCAAGGCAGAGGTGGTCTGTCTCTGCTCTCCACTGTCTGGGCCACAGCTGGAAGACTCAAAGGTGGGGGGCTGGCATCATCTGATGACCCGCTCCCCCCATGGCTAATGGTTGATTCTGGCTCTTTGCTGAGGCTGTGGGCCATCCCTACACATCTACACCTCTTCATGTGGTCTGGGCACCTCACAACATGCAGCTGGCTATGAGGGAGGGCATCTCAAGAGAAAGGGACACTCAAGAGCCAGGGGATGCTGTGTTCTTTCTGTGACCTGCCATGTAAGCCACGCGGTGTCACTTCTGTTGTACTCTGCTAGTTGGGATAATCACAAGCCACCTGGGCTCAAGGGGTGGGGAACTAGGCTTCATCTCTGAATGGGGAGTGTTAAGGCTCTGGAAGAGCATGTAGGACCAGAAGTGTTGATGTGGCCGTTTTTGGAAAAAACTGTCTGCCACACAAATTGAAAGAAAAAAATCCTTAAAAATAGATTATACATTTCTTGCCCCTACTGAATGTGGAATTTGGAATGATGTGTTGTGACTGGTTTTTTGAGTGAAGTTCAGGAGGAAGCTCTTTGTTGAGAGTGTTTCAAGGATTGCAGCCAACAGCAGACAACAGTTCCAGGGTGTAATTTTGAAGACTGGGGCTGGGGGACTTTGGTTGTTGAGTGAACTCTGCCACTAACCAGCTGGCTGACCCTGGGCCAGTCACCTCCCCTTGTTTGGCCTCAGCCCCTCAGCTGGTGGGGAGGAGCTGGTGGTCTTGGGTTCCATCCTGTTCTGACCTCCATCCTTCATGGTTGGGGGCCTGCTCTTCTGAGCCCAGAACCGTCCAGTGCTCAGGTAGCACTTGTGCTGGATTGGACTGACTGACCGAGATTTTGAGTTGTGAGCTAGTAAAGGCAAGTGTGTCTGTAGAGGCATGGCCAGGCCACCCTGTGAGGTTTCCTGTTGTGGTGAAGGGAGCTCGTTTTCTCAACCATGTCTTTCCTTCAGGTTGACATCGCAATCAATGGGGAATCTGTGGATTTGCACATGAAACTGGGAGATAACGGAGAAGCATTTTTTGTTCAAGAAGCTGATAATGATCAGGTAAGGAAGGCTGGTGGTCAAGGTTACCTCCTAGTTTTGAGCGATGCTTATCTGGAGATGAGGCAGAAGTTTGTGTGGAGAAGTAATCCTGGTGCCCGGCTGTGTGGATGACAGCAGCAGAGAAGAGCAGCTGTTCACCTGTCCCGGTGAGCCACACGGGGCATGTGTGCTGGGTCCACACAGGCCCAGCAGCCCTGTCCTGCTTCCGTTTGCTCGATGTCACATACTGGCCCGAACTGTTGTGTGCAGAGCATGCAGGTTATGCTGGCGTGCCAAATCTCAAGTGGCCGAATGTTCTGATTTTCATTTAGCGAGTAACCAAATCACTTTTATTTTTCATTGCTTTAACTTTTAATTTATTCCATTTTTTCTTTTGTTGCTGATGCTTTTGGTGTCATAGCTAAGAATCAATCTTTTGCCTAATCAAAGGTCATGAAGATTTACCACTGTGTTCTCTTCCAAGACAAACCATGGTTTTTATTCCTCCATTCACTGAACAAGCCACTTTGAAGGGATCTGATGTAGCAATTCTTCAGTGAAATGCACTTGAATTAGTTCCTGTGTGGGAAGACAGCATGATTAGCTCTGTGTAGCTCCATGCTCTAGAATGAATGTCCACGGTTGCAAGTGCAGGACAGAGCAGTCACAGGCACTGCCTCCACTTGGCCTGGCCAGGTGTGGGAGGAGGATCCCAGCGTTCCATTCTGTACCTTCACTGCCTGTAGTTAGTCCGTGGCCGTCAGGATCCCTGCCCATCTGCTCTTTGTCCTTATGAAGTGGGAAGGCTGAGAATTATTCATTGGTTCCTAATGGTGCTTTGACAGAAACTCTACCTCAAATGGACAATTGTGTTTTTGACTTCTGTTTGCACCGGTTTAGACAAATTTTGAGAGCTGTTGAAGCATTTTGGGCTGGGATGCCGCCCAGGGGGCCTGCTTGGCTGGCCTGATGGGGTGCCTGGGGCAGCGGCTCGAGTCCCACACAGATGCCTCTTATTTTCCTGGGAGGCTGCTGGAAGTTGGGGAGACTGTGTCCTTGTCACCAGCTTGCCACATGATGCCACTCCCTCTGCTTCTGTCTCAATGTACTTTCCTAGCCCTTTCATTTCCAGTTCTGCAGATGGCCGAGAACCTCCTCTGCCCTTGACCCCATGTCTGTGCCCCTGCTTCACTGGTCCAGCTGAGCAGCTTGGTGAGCCGGCCTCTCACTCCCTTCTAGCCTAAGGCTACGTCCCTCAGATGTGGACTTTATATTTTTATCATAGCTGATGCTCTCTAAATGTATTTGAACTATCAGTGGTGTATTTCTCTTGATCTCCTCTCTTATACACACACACACACACACACACACACACACACATTATATTTTCTTGTTACCAAGTTTCTCATAATAAATGAATTATTCATTAATACAAGGATTGCTATAGATTTTTTGAAAGCTGCTGAATTGATTGTCAAACAACTTTTAAATTGACAGGTTGTGTGTTTTTTCCTTTCGTTCTTAAGAAGAGGGTCAGTATCTAATTCCTTGATAGTCATAAGCCTGGATATGCCCTGCGGTAGGCAGGGCTATCAGCTGCTTTTTTGTTTTTGTTTTTTAGATTACTCTTATCATCTAATTCAATGCATGTTAAAAAATACACACATACACATTCTATCTCATACACACACACACCACCCCCCTAACGATCCCCCTCGCACACCTACTCCCTCACTGAAATGCAAGATTGAGCCCAGTTCCCAGCACAATGTGATGACTCAAAGCCTATTTTCTTCTTTGCTCTGGATATTCTAGACAGAGTTGAAATCACTGATAATTACCTCACTTTGTTATAATTATATAAATGCAGGTTTGAGTACAAAATGGCACTTAATGAATGGTTGACTTTCTGATCTTCTATCACATTGGGCAGCCAGGTCTCTGGATCACTGTGCTGTGATGTTCTGTCAAGCTGCCCTGCAGTGGACCTCCCTGAGGAGCGCTCGGGCTCTTAAATTATCACTGGATGGCCTTTGGCATGTGCCTGCTCTTTAAACCCAAACGAAGGAGAGACTCTTTTTTGAAAATTTGTTCTTGTCTGTAGGAAGTGATCCCCATGTACCTGGCCACCTCCCCCATCCTGTCAGAAGGAGCCACAAGAATGGAATGTCAACTGAAAAGGAACTCTCTAGATAGAATAAGAAGCCTGGACACCAACATGCCAGCCCAAGTTATACCTCCCAGTGAGGCCCCTTCAAGTGGCTCTTTAGGAAAGAAGAGAAGGAAAAGGAGGAGAAAGTCCCAACTGGATAGCCTGAAAAAAGACGACAACATCAACACGTCTGAAGACGAGGACATGTTTCCCATAGAGATGAGCTCGGACGAGGACATGGAGCCTCTGGACAGCAGCAGGTAGTGCTGAGGGCAGGAAGGGCCTGTGTTAGGACTGGATGCATTCAGTTTTTAATGATTTTTATAAACTCTTTCTTTTCAGAATTTCTTATTCTTCTGTTATGCACTTGTGATTGAAGTTTAGAATCATGTGGACCCAGTCTTAGAGTGGTATAAAGATTTGACATAGCTTAGAACTAAGAGAGGGTTGGAAACACCAAACCTCCTTGCTGATAGCTTCAGCAGTTGGGAATCAAATAGAGAAACAGGAACTGAGCAAGTCAGTAGTTCATAAAAAAACACATTTTCTTGAGAACCTATTTATTCTTATTTGAGCACCAACTGTGTACACAGCAATTGGGCTGATTTATAGATAGGGGCTGAGAGGTGATAGGCTTAGGGTTAAAAATGAATGTAGAACATGCTTAGTTTTCTCTAGAAGCAAACTTTTTCCTTTTAAATTAGAATTAGACCCAAAGTTTAACAGACATTTTTATTCTATTTTTCTTTGCTTCTACCAGTATAGTAAAATTCTGTTTGTATGTGTTACTGTTTTGGTGAAAAATGCCTGTTTTAAAAGATGAAACTCATTTTTAAAGGATATTTGATGTTTAAGATTTTTATGTAATCTGGTGTAATTTTTGATAATTGTTTTTGTATCTTGTTTACATAAAGAAGGGATAGGGAACATCAGAAATATCCCCCTGCTTCTCTATTCAGAATAGAATACATTTTTTTTCTGTCTAAAAATAAAGATAAATTGGCAATGTCGCCTTTCCTAATATAGCCTCTGATCTGCTCTAGGCTCAGAAACTGGGTAGTTGGGTTTATTATAATCGTCCGTCCCGCATGGCTTTTAATTCCAGAATTTAGCAATAGGTATTTCAGGTAACATCAAAAATGCAGACAGATGGCCTTCACATAAGTGAATATTGAATTATATTTTGTAAAGAGTGTGCTTCTACCTGCAATTAGGTAGTTTTGCAGTAATTTTGTAATCATAAGACACATTTAATTGATGTCGCTTATTTCTTTTGCTAGACAAAACACAACCTGTGTATGGCCGTTCAGTTATTTGACAGCTCCACCTGTATGTGGCAAGTGCTTTATAACGTGCTGGGGCCAGTTTTGGGGTGATCTGCCTTTCAGGCTTCTGCAAGGTGAAATGTACATGGTGATGATAAGATTCCACAACGGGAATTAGGAGCGGTGTGATCATCCTGTGCACGTATACGTCCAAGTGGTTAAACCAAATAATTATAATTTATGATTCAGCCAAAGCGTAAACACACAAACACATTTATATGTGCCTATATCTCACTTTTTCTCTCTGCACTGACTGTTATATGCCTGGGTGTTTAAAAGAGATCATGTTAATCTACAAAGCATTTAGAGATAATCAAAGAAAAAATTGGAACTTGACCTTATTATGAACCTGTCTAATGATTCTTTGACTGTAATCTGTTTTTCTCCAGAACTCTTCCTGATGACATACCTCCATTCCAAGATGACGTGCCTATGGAAAACCTTTCCTCAGTCTCAAGTTATCCTCAGTCGGCATCATACCCTAATTCAGATAGAGAGTGGTCACCTAATCCAAGGTAAGCTGCTGTGTGTGTGTCTAAGTGTGTTCACCTGTCCTGATCTAGTGGATTTGAAGTCAATTATAAGAAGTAGATCTAAGAAAATAGTGAAACAAATAAAAAACAAAAATAATTAGGACTAGAAGAAAAAAATGAACTATAGAGTAGGAGGTAGAGATTCATATTAAAAACAAAATGTGCGGATCATAAACTTCTATCTGATATCATAATCCATCTGCAAATATGGTTCTTAGCTCCCTGGAGTTGATGTTGAAAGGAAAAACACTTGTTAAGTTACATAATGCTGATTGTTAACAGGAGAAAACAGGGTGCCAGAGGCTTTCTTGATACTTAGCCTTAAAGTCAAATTCAAAGACACAGACATTACTTCAGGGGCTGCTGAGGTCATTGAAGGCTGTTAGAATGACTCCTTTCCCCCATGCTTAATCCATTCTGCTGATTTCAAGAATATTTATTTCCCTGAAATGAACTCACAGGTTGCCCTGGAGTTCCAGTAAAAACTTAGAGAACTAGAGCTGCTCAGTGTGCAGATTGCTATCCTGAAAACTCCAGGCATGTTTAAATCAATGAAACCTGCAAGAATATGGGAGCCCTTCTGAATGGTTTTCCAAAGGACTGGGGAGGGGGCAGATCTGAATTGTGAGTTCTCAACAGCAGCAATATCACCTCAATTGGGATGAAAATTGATTTTGGGGTGGCAAAAAGTCTTAGACATTATAAAGATTTGTGGCCTCTAAAGAACCACAGCACATAACTACATACACACTATATCCATGGCATTAAAATTTCATGGTAGTTGAGAGAACTGTTAACATCTCAAAATGCTTGGGGTGTGGGGTGGAGATAATGAAAAAAATGTTGAGAAACACTGACCTAAACGATGGCGACATCCTTTGGTTGTTTTTGTACCTAATGCCTTAGATTTACTTCTGGTTACAGTGGAAGTGTGTGAGCCCCTAGATGCTCTGGTGTGCGACAGTGGGTCATACCAAAAACCAGTCTCATTCAGACACCACTCCTTTTTCCAGTTTGATTGGGGTGATCTCATGAATGAGACAGCACAGGCAGCAGTGTGTGCTGAAGTCGAGGTTGGAAAAAAAATAGCCGTGTCCCATACCTGGTTTCCAGCCAAGACTCACAGTGGATGCTAGTCATCCAGAGTGAGGCTGGGGGCCTGTGATGAGGTCCCCTCCTTGAGATCCATCTGCCTCAGACCAGCCCTGTCCAATGGAAACATTGTGATTAGCTACACATGTAATAAAATTTTCTAGTAGCCATATTTAAAAAGTAGAAAGAAACTTGGCCCATTATATCCAAAATATTATCATTTCGACAAGTAACCAATTTAAAAAAAATATTAATGAGATATTTCATATTCGTTTTTTCATGTTAAGTCTTTAAAATCGTTGTGTATTTTACATATACAGAACATCTCTATTTGGACTGGCCTCAGAGTGCTGAATAGCTTCATGTAGCTATTGGCTTATGTTGTATAGTACAGATATAAAACCTTTCTAGAACCTCATACTTTCTTTCCCTAGGTTTGTGGAGATAAACGCTAAGAGGGAAAAACACAGTAATTTAGGAAGGAAATAATGTGGAATGTTCAGAAACCACTAATAGGTTGAAAAACCTGTTCAAATGCTATACATTAATTTTAAGAATTTAAGAGAAATGTTTTAAACACAACCCTGAGTATGTTTCTCTGTCTTTCATGCTTTGCTTTATGAATTCAGAACAAGGATGGTGTCAGATTATGTAGATCTAACCACTATCAAATGGAATTTTGAATTAGAATAAATAGATACATTTCCATACTGGGAATGGTGTATTTTCTTTCATTCCAGTTAACAGCACAAATGATCAGATCTCTGGATTATGGAGTATGATTAAGCACTAAACTGTGATCAGAGAAAAACAATCTTATGGGCACATGGATGAAATAGAAAGTGAGATGGGTCTTTTGTCAGTTTCCTGTTTTTGTGGTTCAGAAAATTCATGTTGGCTTCTTAGTGATTTCAGCATGTGGTCCTCTGCTGTTATCAGAAGCCTAAGTATCTTCATTTTCCGACAGATGTTATTGTTGAGAGCAGTCAATGATTTCTGTGAAGTTTAATTTAATTGACCTGTGATTTTTTTTTTTTTCTTTCAATGTGTGTCACGTGCTGGCATCCAGTAGCCTGGTAGATTGCAAAAGGAACCCCCCTCATCTTGCAGCTGCCGCCAGGGGAGGTCTTTCTAGTTCTTGCCCGCCACAGTCTGCCCACTTCCATGCCTCGGAAAGGTAGAGGAGTTACTTTCCCCACTGGGAGATTTTCCATAATGAAAATTTTGATCTAACTCTTACAAATCGATTTTACCACTAATCAAATTACTTATCAAGAAAATACTACAGATTATATGAAGTGAAAATTTTGATCTAACTCTTACAAATCGATTTTACTAACTAACCAAATTACTTATGAGGAAAATACCTGTAGGTTATTGTTTTCCTTTTATTTTAAGCATTTCTGGATTATTAGATTTTTGTAAAGTCCTAAATTTGACTCTGTGGAAATTAAAGTTAAGTATATAATTCTGCCTAATTCTGTGGAGTGCTTTGAAAAAATAGAATAATGAAATATAGATTGGGAGTATGATCTTTTGTGTCTAGGGTTGTTTGACAAATAAGTTTACAAGATATTTATAGGATGCACTTTAGATAAGTCAGGTTATTATAAATACTTAAATGGCTTATTAGGCTGTCTGAATAATGGGTTCAGACATTTTCCACAGCATATCTAGAACAGAATTTTGGAGAATAGCATTGGATGGATCTTAGCTAAGTTTAGATCAAGATTTGTATTTTTGTTTGATGCGGTTGTCTTAGATTTCTGCTTTATTCCCTCAATTTTGTCCACACTTTGACCTCCCTACTTTGTGGACTTACATGGTTTACTTTATAAACTTTAGCAAATGAAGCTATGCTTAGTTTCTTCGTAGAAAACTTTTCTTCTTTTTGATTGAAGAGCCAAACCTCAGAATGTACTTCATTCAGAGGTCATATGTGCAGAAGAAAGGCCATTTTAAAATGAGCTAAGCAAATTATAAACAGTTATAACTAATTTGCCTAATTGAGACTGGCAAAAATACTGAAAAATATTATAAGGCTAATAAATACTCTGTGTATGAAAACCAGTGACCTTGTAAGCTTATTTTTTTGAACAACCCTTATCTTAGAAGTCTAATATTTGATTATGAGGCATTTTGGAGTCATCTTTCTGATAAATTACACTCAGTGCTGGGACGTCTTTTCCCCAGTTCATCTTCAGTCGCTCTGAGTTCCCTC